ACTTCAACTCCCAGAATTCCTCCTCCAGTCATCTTAGCTCAGGAATTCTGGGAGTTGAAGTCCAGAAGTCTTAAATTTGCCAAGTTTGAAGACCCTTGCCTTAAAAACAGCAGCAATATACAGTATTTCCTAATGTTCAACTACTTAATATATTTCCCACACCTTGTTTACACTGCAGACCATTGCCTCTTCCCTCACAAAGGGTTTTTAACTAACCCAGATAAAGGATCTGTGTGAGCAGCATTTCTATTTATTAAGTAATTTTTTTAAAGGACCACACAGATGTACCGGGCTGTAGATGGTTCCCCTTCTGGGATCAAACGCTTCCCACCCCGCATTTAAGAAAGAAATAGCACCAACCTGTTGCCGTAACTGGTCCTCGTAACGTTGCCGAGCTAATTTGTCCTGGTATTGGGCTCTCTTTGAGATAAAAACAGACACAGGGGAAATTGAGTGATATTTAAGAGGAAAGAGGGACAAGGGCCTTGAGAGTTAAAACTCTTAAAGCAGAGAAGACTGCAACCTCACCACGATGGATAAAAATCTATGATTTAATTTTTTTTAAAAAAAGTCAGGTTTTTAAAATGTTAAATCAGATTATTTTTTTATTTTTATCTAATTTATTTTAGTAAAATACTTTGGGAGTAAAGATCTATCTAAAGATAGTTTTCTATTTTTAAGATACATTAATAATTTATTCAGCCTGAAATAAAGCTAAAGTTACGTAGCACGAGGCTGTATATTCTGCAATATTGGGACTGTTGGTGAGTCAACAGTGGGTCAGAGGAGCAGCCACTGCAGGACAGAGATGACAGCTGCTCTTTAAAAATTATTATTTAAATCAAGTTGATTTAAATCAAGCCTTTTTTTAAACTAGTGATCTAAATCATGATTTAAATTGACTTGATTTAAATCAAATCCACCCTGAACTTCACTTGAGCTGAATTTAATATTGAAACAATATAAGTCGTCAACTTAACGGACTACAATTGCTTTGTCCCATTTTACAACTTTTCTTGACACATTTGTTAAGGGAGTCAGTGCAGTTGTTAAATTAGGAACACGGTTGTTAAGACAGCATTTTACCGCTTGTTGTTGCCTCGTCTCTTCATTAAGAGTTTTCCTCCTCTCTTCTGCTTGTATCCGGACTTGTTCGTTCTTCAGTTGTTCTACGGCAGCTTCGTATTCCTAAAGACAAATTAGGAAGAATTACTGAACCAACCTGTGGGAAAATACATTCCATTTCCAGCTCTTTCGTACAAGAAATCCTATTAAATTCCCCACCTAAAAAAAACAAATAGCTGCCTCACTCTAATCTAAAGGCAGAGACTTTGATCATGGTGATATTAGCAATGCCTTAGAAAAAGTCTGGCACTTTTGATCTACTAAAAGCAACTTGCAACATCGAGGTGAAAATGTTTATAAATAACAGAATAAGAGATTTGCAAGGATCTTCTAGTCCCGTGATGGCGAACCTGTGGCACGTGTGCCACAAGTGACATGCACAGTCATTTGTGCTAGCATTCGAGCCGCAGGCAAACTTACCTCACTTTGCATGTGTGCTTCTCAGATGATTTTTTTTGGGGGGGGGCTGGTTTGAGGCCTTTTTGGCCTCCCAGAGGCTTGGAAAAAGCCTCTGCAAGGCATTTCAGGCTGAATTATAGGCCTGTTTCTTCACTTCCGGTATTACAGGAAATGATGAAACGGGCCTATAATTAGGCCTGACAAACCTTGCAGAGGCTTTTTCCAAGCCTCTGGGAGGCCGAAAAAGGCCTCAAACCAGCCGAAAAATCAGCTGTGAGGTGCAGTGCAGGTAAGGGGGTGGGAGGGATTGTGCGTGCATGTGCACATATTGCATTCTGGGTGCTGGCACGCGAGTGTGTGCGCACTGGCGCGCACACAATTTTTGGCACAGGCGCCCAAAAAGGTTAGCCACCACTGTTCTAGTCCAAGCCCCCTGCTTAAGCAGGGAAACTCTGTACCATTTCAGACAAATTTCTATCCACCCTCTTATTAAAAGCCCCCATGGACCTCCCACAACTTCTGAAGTCAAGCCGTTCCGCTGATGAATTGTTCTGTTAGGAAATTTCTCCTTTAGTTGTAGCTGCTTCTCTCCTTTCATTAGTTTCCATCCATTGCTTCTTGTCTTGTCTTCAGATGCTTTGGAGAATAAATTGACCCCTCTTCTTTGTGGCAGTCCCTCAAATATTGGAAGACTGCTATCCTGTCTCCCCTAGTCCTTTTCACTAGAGTAGCCATACCCAATTCCTGCAATTGTTCTTTATAAGTTTTAACTTCCAGGCCTTTAATCATCATTGCTCTTTCTAGTCTCAACATCAAATATGAGGAATGATCAAATGACCAAATATGAGGAATGAAAGTACACGTATGTGTGGATGTGAAATCAACTGATTAATAGCACAACCTGAATTGCTAGGTTTTGCTCACCTTTAATTTGGACTGCTGCTCCAGCTGTAGTGTCTGTTCCTGTAGCTGAGCTAAGCCTAGGGCCTCTTTGGCATGTCCTGAAAAGAAAATATCGCCCATCAGTTGTTTTTCATCATTCAAAAAAAAAAAATTCTTCCCCACCTAACAGTGATTTTGCCCATGATAATTCGGTGCAATTCTGTTTGCCCAATGTTTAAACTATATGCAAATAAGCCCTGCTGGAAATAACACAATGTTGTCCAAACCAGAGATTCTACCTTGTGCATTGCCAGAAGGAAGAGGAATAATAAAACTGCTGTTTTCAAACATCAACTCAAAAGGATGCTCCTTCCTGGTTTAAATTTTGGCCGCTCCTATAAATACATTGAGTTAAAAACTCTTTTGGGTCAGCTCTTCCTGGCTTCCCTTTCAGGGGCAAAAGCCACAATAGAAGCTGCTGAAGAAAATCACATGGGAGCTAGAAGGTCAAAGGGCATTGTTGCTGGAATTCTCAAGGGCAATCTGCCTTCGGTGGCTGCAAGCAAGGCTGCAAGAAGGCTGTTTGAGACAAGAAGTGTCTGTGTGCAGATTCGGCATTGTGGTTAATTGTAGGATCTGATTCTCGTCCAGCATCAAGATAGAACAGAATAGGAGAAAGAATAGAATAGAATAGAATAGAATAAAAAAGAAAATACAATAGAATAGGAGAAAGAGAATAGAACAGGAGAAAGAATAGAATTCTTTATTGACCAAGTGTGACTGGACATACAAGGAATTTGTCTTCGGTGCAGAAGTTCTCAGTGTACATAGAAGCTATAAGCGATAAATCATGATCCTAGTCATCATAAAAATATGTATTCATCACAAATCATAAGATACAAGTCTTAGCGATAGAATCAGTATGAATCGTACTAGGAAACTAAATAAAACAATATAAACCTTAAAGACCCAAGCAACAAAGTTAAGAGTCATAAGTAGAAAAGGAGATAGGTCAGTGATGGCCAACCTTTCCATCCTGGCGTGCCAAGTGTGCCAACACCCATAAGGCAATGCACGCACTCCCCCCCCCACACCCCCACGCATGCTCACATGATCCCCTCTTGTGCTTTTCTGCACATGCACAGCAGCTACCCAACGATTACTTGGCGTGCTGTGCGTGGTATGCGTGGATGCGCAGTGGACCTGCTCCGTGGCGATGGCTCTGCGTGCCACTTCCGGCACATGTGTAATAAGGTAATAAAAAAGAGATAGGTAATAAGAAAGATGAGAAGAATATTAATACAGTCTTATTAAATAGTTTGACGGTGTTGTGGGAATTAAGATGGCTTCAAAAGCACCACTGTCACACCTACACAGGAGCAGATCCTAGCAAGGGATCCCAGCCAAGGGTTTCTGTACAAGTAGCCCTCGACTTACAACAGTTCGTTTAGCGACTGTTTCAAAGTTACAACTGCACTGAAACAAAGGTGGTGAGGGCTGGTTTTCACACTTACCACCATTGCACCCTCCCCAGTTACATGATCAAAGTTCAGATGTTCAACAAGTGACACTTATTTATGACCTCTGCGGTGTCCCGGGGTCGATCACGCGGATTCCTCTTTTTGTGACCTTCGGACAAGTCAAGTCCATAGGAAAGCCAGATTCGCTTAATGACCATAGGACTAACTTAAAACAACTGCACAGGAATTCACTTAACCAAGGTGGCAAAAAAGGTCGTAAAACGGTTAAATTAATGGCCAATGTCTCGCATAGCAACGGACCTTTTTTGGGGACCTATTGTGACCATAAATCGAGGACTAAATGTAATATCCATTCAAGCAGGCACGGAGATCCACTGAACTTTTTTTCCTGGTGGCCGATTCCTGCTAAAGAGTTTATCTATCGCGGGATCCACTGAAAGTTTCGCTCAGGACCAGATCCAGTAGGGGGCTTGGCCACAGGATCCCCGTTAATCGAGGCCCGGGATCCAGCCAGCCTTCTCCCAGCAGGGGAGCGACCCACCAGAGAGGATCCACCCCGCCCACCCGCTCCCCTCCGACTCACGGGAAGAGTCGAGCTCCCGGGCGGCCTTGGCAGCGCGCTCCAGGCCGGTGGGATCGAAGTTGCTCCATTTGTCCTTGGGGCGGCTCCCCTCGCCCGTCCCTTCTTTCGATCCCCCGCCGGGCGGAGGAGGCAGCGGGGGTAGCCCGGTCCCAGGACCCGCGTCCCCGCCGCCGCCGCCGCCCGCCCCGCCGCCGCGGTTCAGCCCGAAGAGCCACGACATGATCTCCTCCCGCCAACCGGCAAGCAGCGAAACCCCCTGCAACACACACGTGGACTCCGCGCCGCCGGCTGCGCGCAGGCGCCGACCCGCCTCTTCCCTTCGCCGCCGCCGCTCATTGGCAGGCAAGCTCAAGCCGAGCCATAGAGTCGCAGGCTTGGGCAACGAAGGAAAAGAACCTTTTCCTCTCCCCGCCCCCACCCCACCTCAGTCACGTGCTTGAAGCGAAAGGAAGAGGCGCCCAATGGGGTGAGGAGGAGGGAAAAGGGGGGGGGGGAAAGAAACACGGTGAGGGACGGTAAGCGAAGAGGACCAATCTTAGTCGAGTCTCAGTCGTCCAGAAGGCGGCCCGTCTCCATAGCAACGGGAATGTTGAAGCGATCGCTGAGCGGGATGGAGGCGAGGCCTCAGGTGGACCGCGGATGGCGGAGGCGGCGGGTTTGCGAGTGCGAGGCTGCGGGGCTTCCCTCAGGTAAGGGGGCTTTTGAAGGAAAGTAGGGAGAGCATCACACCTGATGGAGGTTTCTGAGAAGATTCCCTGCTGGGGTGGGTGGGCTGCTGGCTGGGGAGGATGGGAATTGTAGTCCCTCAGGTGTGGAAAGTCTTGAAGGCGAAGGAGGTCCTTGACAGACAAGAGGTCGGATTCCAAAGCCCCAATTCCTTCCATCCCAGGGCCCATGCTGGCTGGGAACGATGGAGACTGCAGTCCCTGCCTGGTGTATTTTAATGCGCTTGTTGTTTTATTTATCAATTTGTAAACCACTTCAGTATAAATACTTGGGTCGTTGTACTGAGGTACTGGTCACTTCAGGTTATTATTATTATTATTATTATTATTATTATTATTATTATTATTTTATTAGATATATGTATATATGCGTGTGTATGTATATATATGTGTGTGCATGTGTATGTGTGTATATATGTATATGTATATGTATGTATCTCTCTCTCTCTCTCTATATATATATATAACTATCTATCTATCTATCTATCTATCTATCTATCTATCTATCTATCTATCTATCTATCTATCTATCTATCTATAGTATTCAGCTTTGTTTGGGTATTTTCCCACCTCATTGTAGTTGTGTTTTTAAAGTTGTAGCAACGTTTCGGCAGAATCTCATCTGCCATCATCAGGCTCGTGTATTGGGTTCGTCCATGAACACAATACAGAAGCCTGATGATGGTGGATGAGATTCTGCCGAAACGTCGCGACAACTTTAAAAGCACAACTATAATGACGTGGGAAAATACCCGAACAAAGCTGAATGCCATACATGTAAGTACCCGTGAAAACTTATATACACATAAACAAATTTACATGGCAGCCCAATTCATGAACAGAAGAGCATTATTATTTTTTCACTCAGAGCCTTTTCTCAGCCTTCTGGAAGGGGAAAAATGCTAAATGTTCTTTTTTAAAAATAATGAATCCCACCCATGTCTTTTGGGGTGAGCTAAGAAATGGGGGAAAAAGGCCAGAATGGGAATAATTCATAAAAAAATATGTGGAGGCGGTTGTGGTTTCTGGATTAAGTTTTAACAGCCAACATTAAAGGGATGCTATGTTGTTCTTTCTTTTCCTAGAGAGGCCTCAAAGGAGCTCCTTGGCAACAGCCAAAAAACCAACACAACCCACAAGGTCGGCTTTGTGAATCTAGGGAGGCGCCCGGCTCTTTGCGAGGATGAGCAGCAGAGAAAGCCATTGCTGGTTGAGGAAGAAAATGGTAAAGTGTGCTGGTGGGGGGACCCAGGTTCGAAGCCTCGTAGTTCCCGGGAGCGTGCAGAGTGACTTTAAATGGCCTGCTGTCTCTCAGTCTCAGGAAGAAAGCCAAACTGCAAGGTTTGCAAGGCTGGGTAGTGTTTCAAAACAAGCAAGATGGTGTCCGACATTTTGCTTGCTTTGATCTTCTTTGGACTGTACAGGTAGTCCTCGTCTTACGATCACAACTGAGCCAACAATGCTAAGCGAAATATTTGTAAGTGAATTTTGCCTCAGTTTAAGAGTTCTCTTGCCGCAGTTAAGAGAATCAGTGCAGTTGTTAAGTTAGTAACACGGTTGTTAAGTGGAACCTGGCTTCCCCACCGACTTTGCTTGTCAGAAGGTCGCAAAAGGAGAATCACGTGACCCCGGGACTCTGCATCCGTCATAAATATGAGGCAGTTGCCAAGCGTCTGAATTTGCATCGCGGGGATGTTGCGACGATCGTAAATGTAAAAGGCCATCATAAGTCACTTTTTTTTCCAGCGCCGTTGTAACTTTCGGCCGGTCACTTCACTGAACGGCTGCAAGTCGAGGACTAGCTGTATTCCTAAAAATCTTGAAGTCCTCTGGCCCACCCTCAAAAGAAATCAATTTTTATCTCCCTCTTAATAGTCGAGGGTGACATTTTGGCTGCCTCCAGATCCACGTTTGTTTCTCCTTATTGGAAAAAAGAGGGAATGGTACCGATGCCCATGAACTCCCCACAGTGTCTCATGGGAGACAGCAAAGAATAATAATTGGTTGTCATTTTGATTGAAATGCTCATTGTGGGTCTGTTCATGTTCTGGGTCTTCTAACATGGATTTTCTCTCGTTTCACAGGGGTCTTTACCATTGAAGACTTGGAAGAAAGCTTACGAAACCTGAAGGTTCAGGTGGACGGCTTAGCCTCCAGTCTTACTGTCCATCCAGATCGAGATTACCCTTCTTCTCTGGAACACCTGGCTGACCCAAGTCCCTTAAGTTCCAAATGGCACCCATCAGGGTCACCCTCAGAGACCGAATGGTTACTGAGAGCGAAGCGTCTTGCGAGATCGTTAGACGATAACTTGAATTTGATGGATGTGGCCATTCCAGCCTTACATTCATCCCCGCTAAATGAAACTTCAGGATTCTTTGGCACTGCGAGTCAGAACTCTCCTGCCTTGGGGGATCTTTCTGCCCCGTTGAAACTGGGGGCCCCTCATGTGATCGGCGTCAAGTCTTTGCTGCCCCCCAAGATCCCAGTCCGAGCTTGCTTGCCAGAAAGATCCTCTTTCACGTGGCGCAGGGGCCGTTCGCTGAGTCACTCTGAGGTTACCCACTCCTGCTCCTTCTCTCCGGATGCCAAACGTCCGCGTTGGCTCCGGTCACGCTCTCAGTCTCCGAGGCCTATCTGGAGGCCCACCTCGGCTAAGGCGAATGCCTGCGCCCAGCCTCCGCCTCAGCTGGGGAAGCCCAGGGGAGTCAGGAAGAAAAACACGTCAAGCAGACAATCGCGGTTGAGGTTCTTCAGGCCAGGGACATTAGCACTGAAATCCTGGACTTCCACTAAGGCAGTTGGACAGAGGACACCGAGGGAGTCTTGGAGTCCTTACAGTTTGGCTTCTCCTGATCTCTCCTCACCCACTGCAGAAGAGATCAACGAACGGTAGGAAGAGGCGTCTAGGCCTCCTGTTCTAACCTAATCAGAATTGAGAACTAGCGAGGAACATCTTGCTACATAGTCTACGTTGGCTTCCTTATCATACCCTGAAGAGGTCGATCATTCCTGGGGTGGAATAATAATGGAAGTTGAACCTCAACTAAGCTCGAGATTATCCGAGAAAGAAACCAACTTCGAGGAGCTAAAGATCTGGGATTAATGTTTGTTATTATTTAATGGCCCCTATTTCGATTTATGGGTTTTGTTAGAGTTCGTTTGTTTATTGACCTCCATCTTACCACAAAGTAACCCTGGGCGAGTTTTAAAAATTTAGTACTTTTGGTGTTGGCTGCCTGTTGTTGTAACATTTATTTAAAGTTTCTCACTGGGTTTTTTTTTTGTGTGTGCTTTCTTTTAGCTCCATCCAGAGTCTGTTGGAATTAGGCAGCTAATATGTTTTAAATAAATAATAACAGGTGGGCACCGTAGTGTGTTGAAACGTCCGTTCCCAAACTGTTTCAACATGAAAGGCTGGGATGGCTTGTTGTAGGAAATTTCCCCAGCTTTTTGGCAAACAGCAAAATAACTTATTTAGGCCAGAAAATCTTTTACTAGATCGTTCTCCTGCCTGACAATAACAGTAGTGTCTTGTATAGTAAGTAGTCCTGTGTGGCCCATAGGCAATAAAGTCAAGCTATGCATAGAGCAGTGTTTTGACTTGCAAGACATTTAAGCATCTTTTTTAAAAAAAACATTTGGGGTTCAGCTTCCTGCAGACGCTTTCTGAAAGCACAATGGGGAGAGACCTGATTGAAATGTCTCCGTACCAGAAAGAGCTGGCTCGTCTCCGACTCGAGCGCCTGCGTGTGGAAGAGGGCTGGCTGTTGGAATTAAAGAGGCAGCAGGAACTGGAACGAACCCGTGGCCCCAGGCCCAAGTGGTGAGGACATGCTCTCCGAGGCTTGGGCCAGGGCTGTGGCTTCTTTGGGTTGGCTGCTGAGAGCAGATTCAGACCGGGCCAGGTGGAAATCTGGTGGGATTTGCTGGATCCATGAGATTTGGGATATATTAATCCTGGGATTCTGTGGGCAATGTTCATTTGTAAACAGAGTGCCAATCAAGCCCCTTTCTCCTTCTTTCCTTGTGGTTTTCAGGTACGAAATGAGGGACTCTCAATTCCACTACGAAGCCCACAAGAACAACAAACTTCTGAGAAGCAGCCCAGAGATACAGTCGGTCTTCGATTATAGGGAGGCGCTATCAAGAGCATCGAAAGACTTCCAGCAGCAACAGAAGCCCACTTCTACCTCCCTCAAGGCCTACTGGTAAAGAGCCGAAGGAGACACTGGGCATTAGAGGAGATAGAAGAAAGGCAGGTCAGGATGAGCAGGGCCTTCCTCTGTTCCCAGTGAATGATGGTCTGTTTTTTGGCGGGTGTGTGTGTGTGTGCGATTCTGAGTGCCCAGCCCAGTCATTTTTTATGCCTTGATTGCTCAGAGCTGATTTAAACTTTGAGAACTGCTTAGTGGAGTGAAATGAAGTGAGCAAAGATTCCTTGCTAGAGAAAAAGGTAACCGGATATCCTGATTTACTGGGGAGGAACTACGCCAAACGTCAGACATCTCTGTGTCAAAGGCAGTGTGGGTTGTTTTCTGGCTTGGTGTGTGCAGATTTGATGTGTGTGCGTGTGCCTTTTTTTGACCCCTGAATTTGATTGTTGTTGCCTGCAGTCTCAAGCCAGTTCAGCAAAGGACACTCACTCTGGATTTCCCCTCATTTGCTTTAACTTTTTGATTAGGAGGGCACCGAATAAAAAACAAAACAAAACCTGATTTACTAATCAAGAAAATCTTCTTTGGCTCAAACAAAAAAAGATAAATATTACCCTAGAAGAAGAAAAAAAAAATGAGCATACACGTTTTCCCTCTTTTATAGAATGCTTTTATATTTGGTTGCTTTCGTATTTCAACGTAGCGGTAGTTTTAAATATTTTTTTGAGATTCGTTTAATTCTTAGACTTGCAAAAGAGAAGATATCTAACCTGTAACTGACATGCCGGAGGGGGTTCTAGATATACACATCTCTTTTATCGAAGCGCTCTTTTTTATGGCTGGCTCACAAGCATTTTCGTATCGTCCTCGGTGAGTAACTGCAGAAACTTATCTTAACGTGGAATAAATCCAACCGAGGGATTAAAACCATCCCGCTATTAACACAAATTATTCGATAATGAATTATCCTCATTGATCAGTCATGCCCGTGCCTTGAATTTGTGAGTGAAAAAATAAAAGCAGCTCACGTTAACAAGAAAAGATTCCTTTGAAATAACTATTCGACCCAGCTTTCCCAAATTACAGAATTACAGAATTGGTTTATCTAATTACCTAGGGGCAAGCTCTTATAATCTAATAAGATAGCAGTCCTGAGTACATAACGTTTCAAAACGTGTGCATTTTGTCCAGTTTCATACTTAACCATTTGCCGGTTGACAAGAAATTCCACACTGGACAGAGATGGATATCTTTCTCTGCCAATCAGTTTTGTTCGTAGGAGCTCTCTTACCTATTTCTGATTTTGCTAGCCCTCTCAATGATATTTCTTCTTGTTTTTTAATGTTTCAAACTTGGGGGTTTCTAACGGGTCTTCTACATTCACTGTACAGATGTCATTACACCGGCAATATCCGAGCAAGCTAATTAAAAATACAGACTTCATCAGCCAATTAACATATCCCTTTCCTCCCTGTTTAAACCTCTGCTCCATCCTACCCCACCCCGCACACACTGCATGGCTGTTTATATACTTCTTTGGCTTGATCTTTCCTGGCATGACACAGGATCTGAGTGCCCTCAAGTACCCTGCAGGAAATTAAATCTCTCTTTCTTTCCCCAGTTTCTGCCCTCCCCCCAAAAAACCTCGTGTCAACAGATCACAATGTTCCCAAGTCTCATCCCTTGAAAATGAACCGTGAATGCCATGGCATTGCGTTCGGTGGGACCGCATCCAAAAGAGGGAGGGGAAAATATTCCAAATTACTTGGCTCATTTGTTCTCTGTTTAATTTACCTTATTTCAAAGGATACATGACAATGTTGCTGGAGTAAGCTGAGGAGAGACAATGGCTACTGCATTAGTAAAACGGTACATGAAAGAATTGTGGAGGAAATGAAATAGTTTCCCGACTGGCAAGATGTTTATGACCGTCACACACATTCTGAAGCAGGAACAAAGCCATCTTAAAGCTTTCAGGTTTCATTACAAATAATAGCCACAAGCCACAACATTACTTGCATTATTACAATTGCCTCTTTTTTAAAAAACAAACAACACCTGCCTTTCTGTTAACTAGTTTGGGCTGAGAAATTGCACCGTTGTTTGGGCTAGCTCAATTCTCATGCAGACGGGGGCTCCCACGTTGAAACAGTTAAACAAAACATGCGTGGCAAACAAGCATTTCGGGATTCTAGCTGAACTTCATCTTGAGGGACTAGTTGTCTAAATGCAGTGATCTACGGTAGAGATTTTCTGGTTGCATATTTTTAGGTCCACCATCTCCAGCTGGGTGCTCCGCAAATCTGTTGGGATCTGCCATCCAGGATGGTCATGATAATACTGTATTTTTCAAACAAGTTTGTTCGCTGCCTTAACAAAAGGTCCTAAGCTCCAACTGTCTGGCAGTGCTGCATAAACTGGTCAGATTATGGTAATTTGCAAGCTACTTTTTCCCAAAGGACCAACACAGCTAAGGAACAACATTTCCGGCGCCCATCACTTTGCGTGAAAAAGTGCTTCAGGTTGTGTCTTCTGAACCGAACGTGTGATTTTGCTGGACGATCTCAGGTTTGAGGCGGCCCAGCCACCTCTCTCACATTTCCAGAAATTTACAATATTTCTACTGCATAGGCCACTGTTCAATTCAGGCAGTCACCGATGGATCCAGCCCCGTGTAATGCTCCCTGTCTGCGTTTCCACAATATACATTACCTTGTTCCCCAAAACGTTCTGAGCATCTTAGCTATCCTTTGATGTCTATCTTTATCTCTGTTTATCAGGTAATTGCTCCCTGGTATCTATGGCGGGGGTGCTCAACTTTCTCTAAATGGTTGCATTCCCCCCCCACCCCCAACAAATATAATTTTTGATGCCACCCAAAATAGACTGGGATTAAGCATGTTCATCGGCCTACTAGTTTACTGTCCGGTAACCGTATCTCTCAATTTTATTCGGTCACATATTATGTCCTGCCGTTGCCAGATCTGTTGTTCTGATCCACCTATTTCTTGGAATGTGGATCCTGGCCCACTGCTCAAAGGTTAAGGTGACACTCAGCCTGAAAAAGAGTTTGACATCCTGGCAGTCTTAACGATTTCCTTCCGAGGACAGAGCAAATGTGGATAAATAAAAGAGGAAATATCAGGGGCCAGTGGTTTTGCTCTCGACGCTCCCTCAGTCTCTTTGGGATTCATTCATATGTGCTTAATTCAGTTGACAACAGTGTTCAACAGTTAAGATTTTGGGCCTTGGACAATAACCGAGGAATCATTTGGGATCTGCCTTGGGTTTCTAATTCCTTCCCCCCTCCTTCCCCTTCGAACTGCAATAGCTTTTGAAGCAGAAAGACGTTCTTAGAATTCGGAATGCGAATCAGAAGGTGAATGTTCTCACTTCCATGTGAGAAAAGAGCCAAGATCTGTTTGCTTTCTCTGCTCCCTCCCATTTTAAGACAACACACAAATAAATAGTGCAAAAGAAGCGGGACTTGAGTCTTTCGCTGTTATTCCAAAGAAAGGAAAGGAAACTCGGTGAGCAAGGACTTTTTTTTCTAGCAAGACCCAATATCCCCATGGAGCTGTTTTCTGTAACCGAGAGAAAAATCGGGGCATTTGTAGGCAAAAGTCAGCTGCAAAAGAGGACAGGGGTTTTAAACCAGAGGTTTAAAAGGGGCTGTAGCCTTCCTCATCCTGGTGTCTTGATACCTAGGCTATCCCAGGTTATCCTTGTCTTCTGACCCACAAACGTTTTGCTCACAAATTCTCACGCTCTCTGACGGTGCCTGTAGCCACCTGTGGCTGAAGCTGCAAAGGAAAAGAACCAAAGAATCGTTGTCAGGTGGACGAATAAGGTTGCCTTGCAAGCTTCTTGATTTGCAGAAATGCGCTGAAGCAGGAGAAAAGTTATAACAATTGCAAGTAGCTATAAAAGGTGAAAAGAAACCGGGAAAATACAGTAGCATATTTCACGGGGAATTTTTCTGGGACAGCCACCAGGGGGAGCCCGTTCCTTGCAAACCCCTTCTCTGAATCTGAATTCCTTATGTGCTCCATGCTGAATTTTGTGGGTCCATTTGGGTTGGTTTTTTTTTTTTAACTTGTGCCATGTTCTTTCCTCCTACTTAAAACTGGAAATGAAGTTCTTGGTTATCTGCCGGGCTCAAGTGGAGACTTTTGGAAAGAGAGGCTCCCAAATTTCTTAGGGGGAAAAAACCCCCCTAAATTTCTCAAACCACTCTGCACTTAATTCTAAGAATCCAGGGAAAAATATCGCCCTCCAAACTTTCTTCCTCTCCACTATATTCGGTTAGAATATCTCTTAATTTTTTTTTTTAATTCGGTGAGAATTCAAATGGGCTCAGCAACCATGAACAAGCAGCGGTGCATAAAATAGCAAGGATGCCTCCTCTCTCGTGTTGCAGTCTTCTTTGTCTATCCTAGGGGCTGGCAACTTTAAACACTCGAAGAGCCATTTGGACCTGAGAGCAACAAAATCCTTCCCATGCCTGACTATTTCCTGAGAGGCCACGAAACTAGCATACATAATTGAATTAAAAATTCTGTTTTCTTCTGAAACATTTATTGTCTTGGATTTATCTCTGGTTAGCCTACCAGGAGTTGAAAAGCTCAATAAATCGCATGCTGGAGGGTGTCACACATTGGCAGTTGCATATTTTGAGAGACAGGGAGCCGCAGCAGAGGGATGAAAGAGCCACATGTGGCTCCAGAGCCCCTGGTCTACCCCTCCCTCAATCCTAGAGATACCTATTGAGGTACCAAGGCCAATCAACAGGCAGCGCAACCTAAATTACTTCCTTTCCTGGGCCTCTTACCAGGCTGCCGATGGATCATTCGACACAGTCCTTTCCCAGGGCGGGCTCTGTACACAGGCTTCACACACACTTTGTTGTTGCTGCCGGGGGTCAGATCTGACAGCAGAACACTGTGGATCTGCGGTGAAACGCTGAGGAGGGTCGAAGAGCCAGCTTGCCGCCGACACCGAACACGGTAACCCAACACGTCTCCTTCTGCTGGATCCCAGGAAGCCTTTACAGAGCTGGGGCTCAGATCTTCAAAATGGAGGTGCTTTATTTTGGAGTATTCTGTGCATTGGAGGAAAGAAAAGACAAAAAGAAAAGAAAAGAAAAAAAAAAGCAGAATGAGGACGATGTGTGGGCTTTTTCCAGGCCGAAATGGGGGGAAGAAAATCACAACTGGTGCTGGGATATGCCAAGTGGGCAACCTAGGAGAAAGTCAGGCAAGGGATGTTGGCAGTTGTAATACTAATCAAAGGACAACAATCCACCCTCCTTATTCTGCAGCTGTTTGGGATCCTAAGTATGCCCAGTTCTTCTGTCAAGAGTGTGCACAGTGGGACTAATGTGAGACAACCCGGGATCAAATACAGTAAACAGTAAAATACGCTATTTAAATAGTGGTTTTATGTACAAAGAATATATACCTACACGTACTTTAGTCAGATCTCAAACCATCAGCAGTTACAGCACAGAAGCACATACACAGAGAGAGAGATACGCCCCAACAGGGCCTCTTCTTACTGCAGGCTCTTAAAGTGATACCAACCCCAAAACCTTGCTGCCTCATTCCTGGCATTACATCATCGTAGCAGCTGGACAGCTCTTAAATCATTACCCTGACATCTTCCCTCCCTCCTTTCTTCTTCCCTGCTCACCTTCCCGTGTGCAGGCTTTGGCTGAGAGGGCTTTCTCCTTGCCAGACTTATAAATGGCGGACACCGTCACCAAGTAGCTGGTGTTAGCCAGGAGGTTTTCCAGGACGGTGCTATTGAGACTCCCGTCCACCTCTTTCAGCTGGACTAAATTGTCATTCAGGGGGCCGTACATGACTTGATAGGCGGCCACGGTCTCTAGGATGGGGGACCAGCTGACCCGGATGCTGTGGGGTTTGGACTCCGAGATAAGAATCTGGGCTGGGCTGACCACATCTGCAGAGAGAGGAAGTGCAACAAAATTTAAAAAGGGGACACCAAGCCTGATCTGATCAAAACAATCTGCAAACAACGCAATAGCACAGTTGCTGTGTGAATCAACTTTGCTTGTCAGAAAATTGCAAAAGATAATTCACGTGACGCCTGGATCACTGCAACCGTCGTAAGTATGAATCAGCTGCCAAGAATCTGAATTTCAATCATGCCGTAAAGATTGTAAGCGTAAAAAATGGCCATAAGTTGCTTTTTTTCCAGTGCCGTTGTAACTTTGCATGGTCGCTAAATGAACTGTTGTAAGTCGAGGACTACCTGTATTTATATTTTACTCCAAGTTTACATCAGAATCTCCTTCTTTCATCAGCTACCCTTTCTAATTGTCAGATCCATAAATCCACAAGTTCTTTTTTTCTTCTTTTTTTCCCCAGCCAAAAATCCATAAAGAGATTTCCATTCGGCCAAATTTCCATTGGGAAACTTGAGTGTTAGGTTGTAGCCCCTGGAAAGGCCCATGTCTTGGTACGAACGGCCAGAATAACGAGAAATTAATGACTCAACCACCACCAGTAGCAGGAGCGATCATAATTAACAATGACAAGGCGGGACATAGATGAGGGAATAGAAGGGGAACTTATTAAATTTGCAGATGATACTAAGCTGGCAGGAATAGCCAACATCCAAGAAGACAGGCTCAAGATCCAGAGGGATCTCGACAGACTAGAACCCTGGGACGTATCTAACAAAATGAAATTCAATGTAGAGAAAAGGAAAGTCCTACACTTAGGCAAAAAAAACCAAAAGTACACATATAGATTGGGTGAA